TCTCATGCCACCTTTTGGGGTGCTGCCATTCTACAGACGTTTCTCAAGCACCAACCTTCCTAATTAGGCGCCCATTATGTACTCCTTGCCCTTGTTTTGGTTTCTAGCAACCCAGTATCCTACATTTAGACCGTCTTCTTACTCGGATTCTTTACCAGTCCCTCCCTTACTTCTAGCCGGCAACCCAGAAGGGTTGGTTTGCCCAGGCTTTAGGTACCTGAAGGACGCCCTCCCCTTGGTCCATACTTTCGGAGCGTATGTCCTTTTTCTCCGGTGTGACAACCTGGCGGTTCGGCTGGTGTGTCCTCCGCCATTAGGACCTGGTCACTTGATTCTCCGATCTCGGGCCCCAGTTCGAATTCAGCCCTCCTGTAGTACCATCATAGATCACTACTACCTAACTTTGAATATAGTAAATTAGATAATGCTATATATATATATATATATATATATATATATATATATATAGTATATACAGTATATACAAATTACAAGTATCACGTGTTTATGTATGATAGGTTTTTGGTAATCGCTTTTTGTTACACTAACAGAATGTGTACATGATTTTTTTTTCTTTATAACAGTATAACATTTTATTATCGCATTTGAAGATTAAGCTATACTAGATACAGTAAAGTTACTATGCTACTGATCTACCTCTACCTCTTCCTCTATTTTCCGTAATGTTGCTATCATCCTTCTTTTTGTGAAAGGCCGCATTGTGGCCCACATTATTACAAATGTGACACTTATAAGACCTTTTACTTTTAGATTCTCCCGAACTCTGTTCTTTTTCAGTGCTGCTAATATACCTTCGTTTGCGTAGTCACTCTCTAGTAAAAACTTTGTTCGGATTCTTTACATTTTCAAAATCTACTTTGTGGCTTTTATCAGTTTTAGTTTTAGTTTTTTCTGATTGTTCGCTGTCTTCATTTACTTGAGTTTCCAAAGCATTATTGGATATATCACCAGCCACAGATCTTTCATGCTCGCTATGATGATTTTCGTTATATTTTCAGTTGATATAGGCCTGAAGATAAGTAATAATTTCATTATTATCTTTTTCAACTGCAAGTAATGTGGCTGCTCTTGCTAATCCCCACACACGACTATACAAGTTTCTTTTATGAATAGATTTTTTAACCATTGGAACAGTTGTCAGGATGGTAGTAGGTTTTTGTATTGGTAAGACCTCTTTATCATTACAAATACCTATCTCATATCTAAACATTACATTTTTTCTCTCCGGAATTAACCCATCTTGATGATGTTCTTTATACCACCTCTGGGGTATCATACTAATATGAAATGCTGCAATTTTTGAATACATCATAACGCGGAAATAGTGGCGACATATGATGCCTTTTGAGATAGACATTAAGCATGAGCACAAGAAAGATACTGCGTTGACAATAACAACAAAATGTACATGTTGTTTTTCACTTCTGATATCCATAACTTTCCAAATTTCTAACACTTCTTCTTGTCCTACTTCATCAACAATTGCCTGGAGTGTAATTAGGCGTGCATCATATTGGTCTTCGATAAATCCTTCAGATGCTAGTTGATTATTTTTCTTTATGATACAAGGTATGCTATTAGTTAAACTTGAATTTAATTAAGCATCTAATTTAACATTGTTACCTGTTCGCGGTGTAACTCTTCAATACTAGGCTCAATTTTGCTTGCACTAACAAATAAACACTAAAATATTTCCATTTTAATTGAGTTGAAAATAGGTTTAGTAAGATATTCGTCAGCAACCTTTGTTATTTCAGGGAACAAATCTTGCCTGGCAATTGAAATAGTATTAACCGTAATGGTCTGTTTATAATCATGAAACTGCATCAAGCCGTTCAGCGAGCTCACACAGTGTACTGTTTGCTTTTAATTGTTGCTTGATAACCCAATTATAACTTTTAACTCTTGATGTGCTTTCAATGCCTGCAGTGAATATTCTGTAGAGATAAGCCCGAGCTCACAAACGATATTTTGGATCCAGTACACGTAAAAGATAGTCTTTTGCTATTGGGAAATCATTAAGTAATTTACTCCATCTTTTTTAAACAATGGTTTGCATAAGCTATTGCGGCATTTATAAAATTGCTTAATAAAATTATTCCAATTAACACCCAACTTAGCTTTTAGATTTTTAGATAAATTTTGAGCTATATGAAAGATATAGTGGGCTGAATATGTTTCAGGAAAAACAATTAAAATTGCGAAATCAAGTGCAGAATCTCTATCGGTGAACATAACAATTGGGACTTTATTTATAGCCTTTTTAATATGCTCAAGTATCCAAACATGCATATCAATAGTTTCATCGCTCATCAATACCTGGCAAGCGAGACAGGTTCTACACTTGTTGTCAATTACTACAAAAAGTCCCAATGGAATTTGATATTGATTGGTTTGAGCTGTGTTATCATTAACAACAACATCATGGTATCTAAGCTAAAGATCAACCTGGCCTGGAGACATCCAAAGAAGACGAATTAGGTGATTATCGTTATCCAGCTCAAAATCAACAACCCAACATGGATCCTCCAACTTTTTTTGCATCAGAGAAGTAAGTAAAGCTGATGCATCATTACTAATCTTAGCTGTATTTTTTGCTTTTTAAATCGCATTTGCTAAATCTTGGATCTGAAAATTCAGGTTGGAAAATTCAGCCTTTAAAAGACTTTTTTGCACCATTAACGATAAGTTATTGTGTTTTGTCATTATTTTTATTTCGTCAAGTGCTTCTTTAGATAACATTCTATATTTTACTCCAAAACTCTGAGTTTTAGGAAGAAGAAGATGGTTATGCTGATTAATATATGTCGTGATCAAAATTTGTGTAGCACATTCCGGAATAGATAAGTTGACATGCCATGGACAATTCGTTTTTTTGGTTTTGTATTTCTTTGTGTTTCTTTTAAAACAGCCTCAACCATTTTCTTGGACTTGTACTTCCTACTAAATTTACAAACAAAGGTTCTTTTGTGAATTTGACCTAAGCTGTTTCGTTTCATCCGGTATTTGGTGACAGCAAAGACATTTCTAGCTCCATATTTGTTAAAAAAGCTTTCTACTTCGTCCTATGTATTAAAACTGGCACTATTAGGAATATCTTCTGAAGTGATAATGGGTAAACCTACCAATTTAAGCTTGTTAGTTTTGTGCAATATTTGTGTGCTGCCAAAAAAAAAGACCACAGATTCCTATTTGCCTGCTGGTAAAACTTCTGAGGTTTGGGTTTTGGTATTTAGACCGATTATAATAAATTTGGTGGGAATGCGATTTCATTATTGCCCGGATTTTGTTTTAGTGAAAGGTTTAGTTTAGCCAGCAAATATGCAATTTAAAGGTGAGATCTGGTTTACTTTGGCAGCATTCATTCATTTATTTCGTGTTGTGTTTGATACTAACTATTTTCGTTATTTTTGCTGTATTCAATACCTTTTGGTTGAGCTGTGGATGTATTATTAAACTCTTCGTAGCTATTATCTTCAAACGTAACTAAGGTATTGTTGATAAGTTTTAATCAATGGTTGGATTAATTTGTTGCTTATAAGACTTACGGTATCTTTCAACTAGTTTAGTTATATCACTATCAGTAATGTCGAATGAGTTTGTTGCAGAAGGTCCATCATGTTGCTCCATATATGGAGTTGAAAATGTATACTTTATTTGCATTGCGCAATGCGATATTGTGTTAGGCAGTATTTTTTTTCTTTTTGAGACAATTATGGTTGGCCTGAAGATTTTTTTTTAGATGTTTTTTTTTTTTTAAGATGATGTGACTTGAAGTTTTTTAGGCAAGACAATTTGCAATTGTTTGTTTCACAATACAATTTTTAATTTTTGTTTATATTGGGTTTTGTTTTTAATTTGGGGAATATGATACTGTTATATTTCGCTTTACTACCATATATGTAAATTATGCATTTTTAGCCAATTGGATTTACATCAATATGCAATGCTAGATTTAAGTGCTCTGCGCCCTGCTAGATAAACATTTATTCTACTTATTAAAGGTACTTTAAAAATTACAATTGACAATATAAAAAAAAAAATCTTCACCAATCAAATTTATTTTTAATTTAACCAATCAAAATGAACTTCTACTATGAAATTTTACTGAAGATTTATTTAGCTGATATCACAAGGTTAGATTAGCAATTGATTAAGTGCAAATATATATTTTAATAAATTATCACTTGCATAACCTCGGCTAAATGAAACGATTGTTGAATATTATTGCTAATTCAGCTCAGAATACTAATTAATTTAAAAAAAATAATTAAAACTGAACATAGTATATGATTTGGTTTTACAATAATTACATTTAATACAGTTTCTCACAATAATTAAAAGGTAATTATTGATTAATACAGTAATAGACCAATATTGACTATTTTATTTAATTTAGTTTTTCACGATAATTAAAAGGTAATTATTAATAATAATAGATCAATATCGACTATATTATTTATTGATAATAATGAGCAACATCAACAGACTACTAGAAAACTTGTATTGCAGGCTAATCTATATATGAACAAAAAACTTTGAAATAATAATAATAATAATACAGTACAGAATAGATTTAAGGCGGCATCCATAATTTATATTAAAATGATATTGTTGTAGAAATCTTAAAGATAATATAAAAATAATACCAGATGGTATTAAAATTTAATATTTGTTTAGTAATTTTAATAAAAAATTTTTTAAGTTTATTAAAAAATTTTTAAAACAATAAAGGTTTAAATTCTTGGGTTGGTTTAGTATTATTAGATATAACTAAATTATCAACTAATTATTAGCTAACATCACAAAAATTTGCAGTATTTAAAATACTAAATTACAACTCAGTAATTTGCTAAAATTCTCATTCAATACTTTTCTAAAATAGTTACCCCAAAAATACTATTGTGCAAAAATTCCAATATATCGGTATACTAACATATAGGCTGCTATCAATAGAAATCAGGCAGATCAACATTTTAAAAAAAATCATACCTCAACTTTCACAGCTCATATATTGATGAATTTTGATGTGATTTTGATTATCTATTATTCAAAAAAAAAAGCTTAGAACTTAATCTTTCTTTTAAATATTAAATCATCAAGCTAGCTTCCAAATTCATCGAGATATGAGCTGTTAAAGATGAGGTATCCCTTAAATTGTAACACAGGCAAATTTGCCTGTGTTTTTATTAAAAAGTTTAATTTTTTTAATAAAAACTTA